TTTCATAAAGATATAAACCTAGCTATAACTAAAACTTGAGAGCCTAATAGAAATAAACATAATAACCTCAGTCTGAAAGACAAAATCAGATTCAAAGAGTTACAATTTTTAATTTCACTAAATGCTTTAACCAATGTGCGATCTTGGAAGTAACATCTCACACTCAAATTTTAAGTTGATTCTTAACAAAGTAGTTTTATATTTGTTTGTTTAGGACTATTAGATTAGTTTTAGGCTTACAACAAAATTCAGAGGAAGGTATAGAGATTTCACACATACCCCTCCACTCACACATGCATACTCCACCCCCCCCCTCCCATTATCAACATCACTCATCAGGATGGTACATTTTTACCAGGAATGAGCCTAAATTGATCACATTTCGCCCACTCCTTAGGACTTCAGATGAAGAATCACCAGTTTCCTCAAAAAGCTAAATATGGAATTATCATATGACCCAGAAATTCCTCTTAGATATTATGACCAAGAGAACTGAAAACATATGCTCATACAAAAACTTGGATATGAATGTTCATAGCAGCATTAGTCATAATAGCCCAAAAGTGAAAACCCAAATGCCCATTAACTGATGAATGGATAAATAAAATATGGTATATCCATACTATGTGTGGAATATTATTCAACCATAAAAAGGAATAAAGTACTGACACATGCTACAATGTGGAGGAACCTTAAAAACATTATGCTATGCTAAAACAAACATACACAAAGGGCCTCATATTATGATTTTATTTATATGAAACTAGAGGCTCGGTGCACGAATTCGTGCACGAGTGGGGTCTGGCCAACCCTGACCTCGATTGGGGTGGGGGTCCAATCGGGGGCAGGGTTGGCTGGGGAGAGGGGCCCTGGGCGGTTGGCGGACCAGCCCTGCCCCCTAGTCAAAACTCAGTTGGAAGGGACAATTTGCACATTACCCTGTTATTATATAGTATGTCCAGAATAGGCAAATTCGTAGGGACAGAGAGTAGATTAGTGATTGCCAGGAGCTGGAAAAAGGGGTGGATGGGGCGTAACTGCTAATGGGTACCAGGTTTCTTTTGGGTGTGATGAAAATGTTCTGAAATTATAGTAGTGATGGCTGCACAACTTTGTGAAAATAGTAAAAACCAGTGAACTGTAGACTTTGAAAGGATGAATTTATGGTATGTGACTACCATAAAAAATAAAAAGCTCATCTTCCCCTTCTGCTTGCTTGACATCTTCTTTGGCAGTATCCCTCCAAACGTAAACTCTGTGCATTCACATGAAAACTCGACGGTGCTCTCCCAACCACCTCCTTTTTTCTTCAGGTTCCTAATTTATATGTCATTTCTCAGACTGGGAATTTTCAGGTATCTCTAATTTATTTTCTCTCAGTTTCAACATCAGTCAGTCAGCAATGCCAGTACTTTCTATTAATAATACAAATGGTTACCTTTATTAAATACATAATTCCTGCCAGATACTGTGCTGGATGATCTATAAGTGTCTTTAACTTTCACAATAATTATGCATTTTACAGAGGTAACTAAAATTAATGGCGATTAAGAACTTTGTCCTTCAGTCTTTCTCCCTTGAATCTATGTCCCATCCTTCAGCCAGAGTGATGTTCCCTAAAACTAAATCTGATCATGTCACTCTCCCAGATAAGCTCTTCAAAGGCTTCCCACGGTCATAGAAAGTCCAGACTTTTTAACTTGGTATAAGGTGCCCTTTATGATCCTTCTTCTTTTCTCACCACTCCTCATACCAACTCCTTTCAGTTCCTGGACCCGGCCAAGCTCTTTTCTCTCTTGCTCTGGACTTGGCACAGGGTTCCCTTAATCATTCCCTCAACAAATACGTAACAAGTGCTCACTATGTCTGGCATTGTACTTGCTGCCTGTGGTGAACAAAACAGACATAGGTCTTGCCCTCAAGGTACTTAAGGTCTAATGGAAGAAATAAAAATAAACAAGTAATTGCAGATTGTGATAAGAGAAACAAAGGAAGAAGCATGCTGTGTTATAGAACATTTAGGGTTAGAGGTCGTGGAAAACTACAAAGAATGTTTCAAATAGGTTTGTCCTACTAAGGTCTCAGGTAGTGACATACTCTGAAACCTGATGATTGAGGAACCAGCTATGTGAAAAGCAGGTAAAGGAAGGGGGTGAGTGACAGATGTCCTTAAGAATACAACCCAAACCAAGAATTTTTGTAGGCTGTGGTTAGGAATTTGGATTTTATTCTAAGTTCTAAGTGCAATGGAATTCATCGAAGAATTTTAAGTAAGGAAGTGTCACCTTTTGCTGCTGAATAGAGAAGTGATTGGAGGGGTACAAGGCCTGAAGAGGTTTAGTTGAGAAATGTGAATGATCTGGACAAGGATCTGATAGTGAAGGAGGAAAAAGTTGACAGACTAGATGCAGAACGGACCTGACTTACGAAGAAGTCATCAGCTGAAAATGAGAAAGAGATGAAGAGAGTATATACAAAGTTTAGGGAATTGTAATTGGAAAAAGAAAGTAGGCTTACCACAGAAACAGAGGATAAGAAGGATAAGAAGGATCTCATGCCCATACTGAGTGAATCTTCAAGTGGTTGACCATTTTCATTTTACAGTGTCATCAATTTATCCAGGACTTTTCCCAGCAAAGTTAATCCAGATAGGTGCAGGTGCAAAAAGGGCAAAAAGATTGGGTTCATCCAGAGTGTGGGTTTTGCCAGAAAAATAAAAGGCAGGGAGAGATAAGAGATAATGTATTTTCAAGGACAAGATCATAATGATAAACTATGACATGCATTCCTAATTGGGTTAGGGGATACAGATAGGCAGAAAGTGGAAGGATCAATGAATCGGAAGTTTAGATGAAGTTCAAGAATTGTCCCCTTATCTTTACTGACACAGCTCCTAGGGCAATGGAGACTAAGGAGAAAGTAAACAAATGGGACTTCATCAAAATACATAGCTTCTGCACAGCAAAAGAAACCATCAACAAAACAACAAGAAAGCCCACTGCATGGGAGAACATATTTGCCAATGATATTTCCAATAAGGGTTTAATCTCCAAAATTTACAGAGAACTCATACAATTTAACAAAAAGAAGATAAATGATCCAATCAAAAATTGGGCAAAGGACCTAAATAGACACTTTTCAAAAGAGGACATATAGAATGCCGAGAGACATATGACAACATGCTCAAAGTCACTAATCATCTGAGAGATGCAAATCAAACAACAATGAGGTACCATCTCACACCTGTCAGAATGGCTATCATCAACAAATCAACAAATGACAAGTGCTGGCGGAGATGTGGTGAAAGAGGAACCCTCGTGCACTGCTGGTGGGAATGCAGACTGGTGCAGCCACTGTGAAAGGCACTATGGAGTTTCCTCAAAAAGTTAAAAATGGAACTCCCATTTGACCCAGTAATCTCACTTCTAGGAATATATCCTAAGAAACCAGAAACACCAATCAGAAAGGATATATGCACCCCTATGCTCATAGAAGTACAACTTACAATAGCTGAGATCTGGAAACAGCCTAAGTGCCCATCAGCAGATGAGTGGATTAAAAAAACTGTGGTACATGTACACAATGGAATACTACGCCACTATAAAAAAGAAGGAACTTTTACAATTTGCAACAACATGGATGGAACTGGAGAGCTTTATGCTAAGCGAAATAAGCCAGTCGGAGAAAGATAAATATCACATGATCTCACTCATATGTGGGATATAATGATCAACATAATTTGATGAACAAGAATAGATCCAGAGACAAATGGCAGGGGAGGGGTGGTTAGAGAGCAACCAAAGGACTTGTATGCATGCATATTAGCATAACCAATGGACACAGACACTGGGGTGGTGGGGGCTTGCCTGGGGTGGGAATGGCTGGGGAGGGGGTCAATTGGGGAAAAAGGAGACATATGTAAAACTTTACACAATAAAAAAAATAGTTAAAAAAAAGTAAAGTACAGTATAGGGAATATAGTCAATAATACTGTAATAACTATGTAGGGTGCCAGGTGGCTACTTGAAATATCAGGTGGACAACTTTGTAAAGTATATGACTGTCTAGGCACTATGCTGTACACCTGGAACTAATACAAAATAATATTAAATGTAAAATGTAATTGGAAAAAAAAGAATTATCCCCTTGGGGTACACAAGCAAGTGAGTTATAAATGCAGGAGATTTGGGTCAGATATTAAGTTATAATTTGTTTCTTCTGTTTGGAACGGTCATTTCCCCCTCTAGGCAAACATGACTTTTATCCGGAATCACATCCATCCTGCCCCCTCCTGTCTTCCAAAGATTCCCCATGACTACCACCTGAGTTTGTCACTATCTCATCCAATCATAAAGGCCCACCTCAAACTCTCCCCACCTTGAAGCATTTATCCCACTCTACTGGGCTCTCTCCTCCTGGTGGCAGATCTCACCCAGTGTGTACTGACAGTATTCCCGTTACCACATGTTAGTCACTGTTTTTCCTTTCTATACCTCTTTACTCGGTTGGGAAAAGGCATTGTTATAAACAATCTCTGGTCCTGCGGCAGTCCCCAGAACAGCACCAGGAACCGAGCAACCATTCCATAAATGCTAACAGCGATCTCAGGCTACTGGGCTTCCAAACCTCACCCGTCCTTTAAAGCAGGATTCCACCCAAATCAAACAAAAGCTCACAATCTCTGTTCGCAAAGGCCCCAGACATCTCCATCTGCCTCAAGAGTGGGCTCCAATTTCACACATTTAATTTTAATCCACTGTAACATTCGAAACAACGTCAAGCGTGCAACAGCGCTGGTAGGATGCGGGGATACAGGGCCTGTGCGAGGACCCAAAATCTGGATGCCAAAACGTGAGAACAGCCACGTTCGCTAGAAAACAATTCCCCTCACCGCTTACTGCAGGGCTAGAGAGGCCTGAGACAGGAGCCAGACCAAACGGCCACAGGAGAGGTGCCAAGAGAGTCAACTGGCACAGGGTTGACCTCAGGCTGGCACCTACCTTCCTCCTCTCCAGTTCCAACTGCAGCGCCCGCAGCGGTGGTGGCCCCCGAGCCCGCCGCCATGGCTAGCACGGCTCCAGCTCCGCCCGAAACCCAAACGTGGAGTGGAGAGTGAGAGGGTCCCAGCAGGGCCAAGGCTCTGGCTCTGCAGCCCGTGCACAGAAAGGAATTCCAGCGGTTGCTACCGGCTCTTCCGGAAGCGCCGCTCACGTGCAAGTCATGTGACCGGCGCTGGGCGGGGCCACGCAGGTTTGTTTTGATTCCACCGGAGCCGTAATGTAACCACATGGTCTCGGTTGTGGTTCTTTTTGCCTTCCGCAGTTTTGTCCTTCTTTCAATGCTGGCTTTTCTTGGCTTCGTTTCTGCTTCTCCTCGTTTTCTAGTCAGATCCTCCCTTTCCGCCTTGGTGATTTCCTCTCTCCAATTATACTGGAGTTTTAGGGGATGTTTGCTTTTTTTTTTTTTTGGTGGAGCTCGGAGCAGTGGAATATGGCCCTGCGTCCGTTTACTCTGCTAACGCTCTTACAGCCTTGGATACTAGATCGCACGCTTCTCCTCCTTTCCCTTCCCACCTGCTTTGCCCTTCTGGCAGCAGCATGACTCCACTTGGTTTTCGTGGCTGCCGGGAATATGAACCTCGATCAGATGTCCTTTAATTGTGTTCCCTGTGACTCATCTCCCCACCCAGTCAGGCCAAATCGCTTAGGTTTTCAAGGGCACTAACCAGCAGCTGTGAGGCGTCTGGATTTGTATAGCAAAATAAACAACCGTCAGCTTGATCTAGAGATCAACAACCCCCACCCTTCTCGTTTACTCTTCCTCAGGTCAAAATCATAATTGGATATGGATCTGGGTCATTTGGGAACAAATCCTCCAGTGTAGGTTTTTTCCCCCTTCAGCCGAGGATATATACTAGTAGAATTGATTTGAGAGAGAGAGAAGAGATTGGTGAGAGAGAGAGAAAAGAAGAAAAGAAAAAAGAAAAGGAAAGAGAAGAAAAAAGAAAAGAAAGAAGGAATATCTGTTTCTTCTATTAAGCTCCCAGAACCTGGATGAACCTGCAACATGTGCCCTGACAGAATGGAACCCGCAACCTTTTGGTATACAGAAGGACCCTCCAACCAAATTGGCCGCCGGGCCAGGGCACAAATCTTCCAGTTTAATGAACATATCTTTTTTTAAAATATATTTTTATTTATTTCAGAGAGGAAGGGAGAAGGGGGGGAGAGAGAGAGAGAAACATCAATGATGAGAGAATCATTGATTGGCTGCCAGCTGCAAACTGGGGGGTGGGGGGGGACATGGGGGGTGCAGCGCGAGCCCCGCAACCTGGGCATGTGCCCTTGACTAGAATCAAACCCAGGACCCTCCATCCACTGAGCCAAACCAGCTAGGGCAGGACCATATCTTTATTGCTCGCTTATTGATGACAGGAAAAAAAACAGAAACATCATCTTTTATATATGAGTAAAATTAGCTAGTTTATAATCTCATTGGGTATGTAATACAAAAAGCTGCTAAAACTAGGCAGTACTTACTGTACATTAAAAATTATTTTCAAGTGGCGACATTTGGGTCCCTACTACACCTGAATTTTATTCTACCTCCCCCTATAATTTCTGAAGTTAAAAAAAAAAAACAACAAAAAATAAAACCCAATATAGAAGCAAGCATTAGCTTGAGTGACTAGAGGTCAACAAGTTGTTTACTAGGCACATGATGTAAAACTTGGACACTTCCTCAAGCAACCCGGGTTCTTTGCCCAACCTCCTCTCATACAGCCTCTCTGGCATTTTCCCGGGGCCAGCCGCCTCCTCCCCGCCGTCCCAATTCCTCACGGTCCTCCTCTGGGACGCCAGCTCCGCTCCATCTCTCCTCACCCGGGGGCCGTCCCGCTCCTGCACCCCAGCCTCCCCAGGCGCGCCGCACCTGCCACCCCGCCCAGCCCGGACCGGCTCGCGCGGCGCAGGCGCACCAGGCGCGGCCGGGAGGCCGAGGGCGTCCGGAGCAGCTCCGGCCTCCGCCGATTCCCGTCGCCTCCGCGCGGGGCTGGTCTGCGGCCGCCCGGACCGCGCTGGGCAGGGGCCCCGCGGGCAGCGCGTCGCCATGGGCTCCGGCTGGAGCAGCGAGGAGGAGCGGCAGCCGCTGCTGGGGCCGGGGCCGGGGCCTGCGCCGGGCGCCGCCTGGAGAAGCCGGGAGGTAGCGGCGGCGGCGCTGCCCGCGGCGGCCCCGGGTCCCGGGCGCGTGTACGGGCGCCGCTGGCTGGTGCTTCTGCTCTTCTCGCTGCTGGGGTTCGCGCAGGGCCTGGTCTGGAACACCTGGGGCCCCATCCAGAACTCGGCGTGCCAGGCCTATGGCTTCTCCAGCTGGGACATCGCGCTGCTCGTGCTGTGGGGGCCCATCGGCTTCCTGCCCTGCTTCGCGTTCATGTGGCTCCTGGACAAGAGAGGTGAGGGGCTCCGGGGAACACCCGCCCGCGCTGGCACTCCCGGGGGGGGGGGGGGGGGCGGGGGGGGCTCCTTCTCGGTTTCGTCTTGGAGGTTGTCAGAGGTGACGGGAGTGTCGCAGGCATCCCTTTCCTGTCTAGGAACCCTCTGGGCCCAAAGCCGCAGCTACGGGAAGGCATCTTTGCAGCTATTATTATTGTGTTGTGTTTTTAATCAAGGCTCATTATGCAACAGCAGAGATAAAGCGTTCTCTGAACGTTCGCGTTTTTTGCATATTGCGGACCTCAGAGCATTCCCGTGCACGTGCTGCGTATGTTTTTTTACCCCTCACAAAAATGACTGATGCTTTGACTTCATGGGAACTTGGGGATGTTGAGGGTGAAAGGTCAGAAAATAGGTATGCCCAGATCTAGGGAAGTAGTGAGCTGGCTTTGCCTAATAGATGAGTCCAGCCCAGGAAGAGCTGTTGGGAAACTCCGGATCTGACTCTGGTTTCTGGGAACTGGTGCGCCGCAGCTTTAAAGTGTGTGAATGTGGCTAGGTGGCTGTGTCAGTTGAGATTTTTAATTCTCAGATGAAACTTGTAGATAATCGAGTCTCTCTCTTCACAGAAGAATACTCTGGTCAGATATCTCGCTTTACCACTTGCCAGTATGATTCTTTGAGGAGGAAGGAAAGGTCATAGGATTGAATGATAAGGCATTGATTTTTACCACACAAGTACAAGCAAATGATTCACGACAGATGTGACAGAACTGCTGGAAAAGGGCAGGCGATTTTAGGCAGAGGAGCATAGTGTCAAAAACAAGAAGAGAAAAAAAATTGGATAGGCTCTACTCCAGTGTTCAGTTCTGAACATTAATTTTAAGAAGGCTGTTGACAAGCTGGAGTACCTTAGAAGTTGTGGGGCAAGGATAATCAAGGATGTAAAAATCATAATGTGTAACATGAAGGGAACTGGGCGTGTCAGGCTTCAAAAAGAAACTTGAGGCAGAATATAAAATATGTGGAGATCAAGTGAAAGAGGAATTAGACTTAATGTGCGTGGGTCTAGAAGGAAGAACTAAACTGAGTGAAGTTACGAAGGGAGAAGCCACACAAGGAAGAACCTTCTAACAATGAAAGGTGCCCAGCCCTGGAAGGTGTGTCTCGGTTGGCGTGGAACCTCCAGGTAGAGCAGGTACTTATGCAGAAGATGTGCACTAGGTGCTGAGATAGGGTTTTTGTTCTGAATGGAGGTTTTCTGTTCTTTTAAAAAAAAATTTTTTTTTATTGATTTCAGAGAGGAAGGGAAAGAGAGAGAGAGATGGAAACATCAATGATGAGAGATAATCATGGATCGGTTGCTTCCTGCATGCCCCACACTGGGGATTGAGCCTGCAACCCAGGCATGTGCCCTGACCAGGAATCAAACTCTGACTTCCTGGTTCATAGGTCGATGCTCAACCACTGAAGCCCAAGAGCCAGGAGGAGGTGTTTTTTCTTTTCTTTTCTCTTCTTTTCTTTTTGTTTGTTTTGTTCGCTTTTAAACTAAATTATAGACTTTATTTAGATTTCACTAGTTTTTCCAATGTCTTTTCCCTTCCCCCCGTTCCAGGGTTTCAGTGGAGGGTCCCAAATTGTGTAGTTGTTATTTCTCCTTAACCTCCTCCAATCTGTGACAATTCCTCAGTCATTTCTTACAAGGTTGGCTAACTTTAGAGGGAAAGCTCTTTTTGTTGTTTCGTTTTACCAAGAGCAATTTTCAATATTGTTCACTGAATTTAGCCAGCCTTGTTTTTATGGTGGAGAAATGTTAATTTTCACCCTTATGATTATAATTCTATCTGCTATCTCTGGCAGATAAATTAGGGACTACCTATTTGCTTCATAAAACATGTTACTTTAAGAGTTGTTTCAGATTTCCCATGAATATGTAGTGAATTCAATTTTATGTTTTCAGTTGGTTGAAGCAATAAAAAATAGATTTAAAAATTCTCTCTTTTAGGAAGTGGTTTTCCTTTTTAGTAGGAGAAGGCTAATAAACGTTTATATGTTGGTTGTCCTGCTGCAGATAGTCTATCTGCACACATTGAAAGTGAGTTCGTGCTATTGTTGGGTTCTACAGTATCTCTCTTCCTAGAAGGTAGAGGGAGTTATCTGGCCTTCCTGCTGCCATGGGTCACAGCCAGCTTAGTGTAGAAGACTGTTTTTCTTCCTGAGGTTGGTTTTGTACTCCTTCACCCCTTTTCATTTTCCAGCAAGGAGATAAAAAAGGACTAGCTAGTGAGATAATAGGAGAGCCAAAAGCTAGTGTGCCCTAGAAGCCAAATGAAGAAAGGTTTAAGAAGAGATAGCATCTACATGTGTACTAAGCACGGGGGAGATAGCCCTCACAGAGTCTGCATTCTAGTGAGAAGACCCAGGCATCATCTATATCAGGGGTCCTCAAACTTTTTAAACAGGGGGCCAGTTCACTGTCCCTCAGATCGTTGGAGGGCCAGACTATAGTTTAAAAAAAAACTATGAACAAATTCCTGTGCACACTGCACATATCTTATTTTGAAGTAAAAAAAACAAAACGGGAACAAATACAATATTTGTAATTGCATGTGGCCCGCGGACGGTAGTTTGAGGACCCCTGATCTATATTATAAAAACCCAGTGGCCCTAACGCTGTAACGACCAAAGGCTGATCACCAGGTGGGCGGGGACTTGACTCTGGATCCCGTGGTGCCGCACGGTCTGGGGTCCCCAGTCTCACACGATTTCCTGCACTGGGTCACTAGTGCAACAATAAAATTAAATATTTACTATGTCAAATGGCAAATAGTGCTTTGGAAAATAAAGCAAAGCAAGGGAGAAAGGGGTGTGACTGCTCTATATAGAGCAGTGGTTCTCAACCTTGGCTGCACATTAGAATCACCTGGGAATCTTTTTAAAATCCTGATTTCTGGGCCTCATCCTCTGGAAATTCTGTTTCTTTGTTATGGGGTGAGGCCACAACATTAGTAACAAAGAAACATAATTTCCGGAGGATGAAGCCCAGAAATCAGGATTTTAAAAAGATTCCCGGGTGATTCTAATGTGCAGCCAAGGTTGAGAACCACTGGTATAGAGTGTCAGGGAAGGCCTTATTGATGCGTGTGTTTGAGGAGAGACCTG